AACCTATTTTTTCGTCAAACAGAATTTTTTTATAATGACTTTTTCCTTAAAATAAAAATAAAGATTTTTCCATTTTGTCAACTCCATGTTTAAAATATAACATTTTACTTTAAATCTTAATAATATACCTACATAAGTAAATATAAATTGACGCTAAACTTTACGTGACGTTAACTAGGCACCTACCTACATCTTACTAATAGCTTTATAACTGACAAACTGACTCATAAACTAGGATTTTTTTAAAAGTATACCATACATACCTAATAAGATCTTTAAGAAACCGAAAAAATCTTTTAATACAGTTTATTCATATAGTTTTTTGCTGCACAACTTTGCCCAGACATAGTAAAACACTTAAAAGTTAACAAATTAATACTGGAAAACAACTACTATATAAAACGTGTCAAAAAATATCTATAATTCTAAAAAAATAACAATAACTACATAATACAAACATCACAAACAAAATAAATTTAAGATACACGCTACTGATTCCGTGCTACTGCAACTTGTTTGTTTTTGTCGCTGGCTTGATTGAGAGGTTTGGAATGCCTAATTGTATTTGTTTGACTGAGGAGTTAACTGCAAGAAACGCAAGAAATAGAATAAAAAAAAGGTTGAAGAGCAAGAAATCATGAGATGACCAACGAGAGCTGAAGACATATGTTCACAAATTAACAAATCATTATACGATAATACATGAAAAATTACCTAAATACATTCCATATATTCAAAAATATTCAGTTTCAAGAAATTATTCAACTGCGATAACTCGACTCATACTTAACCATGGTAACTTCCCTTCTCATCTAGCAAAAATTATTTTTGTTCCTTTGATGAGGTTCCTGTTTGCGATCTGAATCATATATTTTTTTAACTGTAGAAATCACACAAAAACCACAATTTCATTAAAATCTTATGTAGACAAGGTTTACCCCTTCCAGCAAGTGTTTATTACCTCTTACGAATAAATAAAAAAGAAATAAACGCTGCCCTTACTATTAGCAATTAGGCATTCCAACGACCTGTCAAAATGCTGCCAGTGGGAACTAATACTTTAGATATGGCATTCCTGTGAGCATGTTGTCATGGGCAGGCTCACATATATCGTTATATAGAGTGCTCAAAGCGTGTCGTTTGCAAGCGGCCATATTTCCTGGGAAGTGTTAATTAATTTGAATCGGTTTAGCAAAAAAGTATTTTAAAACCAATTTCCAGCTTCTGCATAGTAAAATAAAAATGAATACTTTCATTTTTACTTCAAGGCATATGCTAATGTTTATTTTTAAAAACATGGATGATCAATCTATATAACTATCTATATGATTGATTCTATCAAATCACCAAGCCCACAGTGTTGCCATATTATAACCTATCATGTGCCTGTTAGTGGCCTGTCATTTCCTATGGTTAGCCATTTTGTTTGGAATGCCTAATGCCGTTGGCAAAAGATTAAAATCAATGCCATCCATTCTCTCTTTCCACACACACAATATCCCAGACAGCACACGACGTCCATTGGACGTCCATATTTTGTCCAAATAATGTCCTGGATGTCCATGAACTTTATATGGATGTCCATTGGACATCCATTTTCTGTTAACCAATGGATATACCCATTTAGACGTCCAATGGATGTTCAATAAATGTCCATGATGGACACTATAAAAATGACTAACTTATAATAAATTATTATAATTCTTCTTGTATAATTTAATTATTTACAACATTTTAATTAAAATAAATCAATTAATTTTCCTCTCCTAACGCCTCTGTTGACAAGATAAAAAAAGTAAAAGGCCATTCAGACCAGACTCGAAGAAGAAAAGAAGAAAGAGGTTGAGAAGAAAACATCCCACATGTAGCTGATAGATAATGTTTATCTGGTAAGAAAATAAGTATAATTAACATTAAATTATTTAAAAATCCAAAAATTAAGAAGCAAATCGTTTGTTTTAAACTAATATAACCTATCAATTATGTTTTAAACTTTATATTTTCAAAGAATCCATTTCTTTTAGACCATTTGTCAAACGATTTACCTACCATTTAAGAAAATGGCTTTACTTAAAGCTAACTAATATGCTGCAAATTCGAAATGATGTCAACACAATTATTATTGTAAGTAAGAGGTGAGAAAACTTTCAACGGAGAAGAAAAAAATTCAAGTTTCTATTTGTATGGCATGAGACGTTAGCAGAAGAGGCTATTTAGAAGATACAAATATTTTTAAAGAAGCTGTAAGTTTTACGTTTATTAAATAAAATAGAATTGTTCTGTAAAGCTTAAGAAATAATGCATTGAAAGTGGTTTCATAAGTTATTTCTCTTTAATGTTCACAAATACATATTTTTATTACAATTTTAGATTCAGCAGTTACCAAAACCAGGGACAAGGACATGACGAACTTATGAAAAGATGTTTTGTTTCCATTTCTAATATCCTCTCAAAAAAATTCGCATAATATGATGGTAAGAAAGTAAAATGGTAATTTAAAGAAATAATGAGCAGTTTTTTATTTATATGTAAGTATAGAGGTAAAGTACATTAGTCAATGCATATTTTCATATTAGTTAATAACATTTTATCTAAAAGTTTTACATTTTTAACTATCAGTTTTGCCTGATCAGGCGTGTATTAAACGATTGATTTAAGACTCAATATTCATATAAAATGTAGTCTTTTTTTAGCTGCTGCTGTAGCTGCTGCTGAGAGTGACAATGGTGCTGCTTAAAAAATAAGCGAAATAGCCTTAAGAAAATGGCTGAGAAGGTAAACAGAAAGGAGTGCGTATAAAATTAATACATGCTTGATAATATTTATGACAATAAAAATAAGTCAATAGTTGCAATTATTTTATTTCATATTAATATAGGTGGTGATGTCCGTCAGATGTCCATAAATTGTCCAAAAGCAATACAAAAAGAGTCCATATATGGACCTTTCATGGAGTCCAAATGGACATCCAGAAGTGGGACATTTGTATAGTCCAGTGGATATCCTTTGGTAAAATGCTGGACGTCCTTTGGACAGCTGATATGTCCATGAATGGATTTCCGATGGACATCCAATGAATTGACTTGTGCTGTATGGGATACCCAAATAAATATTCTCTTGTTGTTTTTTTTTTCACGTCATAATTAAGTTAAATTTTGGTCAAATAGGTCGTTGTGAATTTTTTACGCAAAAGTAACGTAATAATGTCATTTTCGGATCAATTTGACACGTAAACACAGTAGTTGCGATCAAAATAAACCTATTTATGTCATTAATGCACTGCGAGTTTTTGTTATTCATTATTAAATAAATAGAAGGTAATTTCTACAACATCGGTTTTTTTAGCGGTCATTGTGACAAAAAAAAAAGAATGTACTATGACGTCACTTAGGGACCAGTTTGTCAGGTTCCGAAATGATGCGTCAAACTTCGCACGTATACACGTCGATTCTATACCTCCATTGTTTTACATTCTATGTATCTTCAGTGTTAACATTGATTTATGATTCTCATTTTAAATCTAGGAATCTTTGGGAATTCTCCTGTTCATATTAAATTTTATGTTGTCGACACTGTTTAAAAATGTCAGATGTCATGGCATTGTCCAAGCTTCGCCGTTCATGTTTCATGTTTTTCTTTGCACTTTTTGCAACATTCCCCATAACTAACATTTTATCGTTTTATTTTTCAAGTTTTTTGAAGGTAAGTAGTTAAGAAGCTTAGTGCCATTATTATTATTTATTTTTAATATGTTTATAGGAATACAAGTACGGCAGCGGAGTATCATTAATCTATAGCTGACATCCAGAAAGCAGGAGCTTATGAACAACAAGAATTTTTTAACAAGAGCATAAAAAAGGACAACTCATCAGGAGAAAATTAGATTTTTTTCCTATCTATAAAACATATTTTTCCAAAGGTGAGTGATTTTCTATATTGTAAAGATGCGTTATTAGCTAGTCCAATTTTGTTTTAATCATTAACATAGACATTAATATAAATATAAATTTAAGCATTTTAAAACAAAACCGTTTATACAGATAATTTAAACATAACCTGAATTAATATCAAAGAAAAAACCAGAATTAATATCAAAGAAAAAAAAATACTGCATAAATAAAATAAATAAATAATTATAATTGCATAAGTTGATAAAAAAAGCCATGCAATCGCTTTACAGCGGCAGTCCCCGAGTGCCACACGTATTTTTTTTTTTAATTACTACACTGCAAATTATAATTATTTCCCCCTGTATTTAAATCTACTGTTCTGATCTACGGTTTTTTTTTCACCCATACTGTTTTAGCAAATGTTCATCTGGCAACACTGCCTAGATCAAAAGAATGCAACTACCATTTCTATAAAATATCGACTAATCACCTCCAAATACAAGCGATGACTAAGGGAGACAGACAGCAGACGGTACCCCGAGACCGACCTACCTGTCGTTGAGATCTGTCTCTCGAAGTGTAGCGCCGTGCGAAATATGTTTCATGTGTGCAGACGTGAAGAGACCGTTCTCGGTCGCCTTTGCTGTCACCTCTGTTGTCGTTTGTCGCGCCTACCGAAATGGTACCTTTATGGTGTTTCTTTTGACGTCAAAACGCGTAATTTGGTGACGTATTTATCACGTTGCTGTAAGACGTCTTTGATCTGTGATATATTGCCGTCTTAATAACGTCACCAGCACATCATGAATTTGGTGATTTCGACATAAAATGTGCCGTATATTTCACGTGATAATCACGTGTCTGTGCTAGCTGGCTACGTAGATAATACGTCATACGACGTGTAAAATACGTTTAGAATATGTACTCTGCTGTAATTAGTATGTATCTCTGTTTGGAAAATGTACCTATTATTACGTACATACTTTCTGCAGTAAAGCACATACGTTGTACACATTTTAAATACTATCAGTACGTACTTATTACGTCTTCTACGACAAATGGCAATTAGATATTATCTTTATCAGTCAATAAAATATTTTTTTAACTTACCTTTTATATCTTCTGATTTCTTCTCTGGAACATCGCGACCAATAAAATTTGTTAAACGTAGCAGAAACCATTGGAGCCATTACGCTACCATCTAAAGCCTCATCTGCGCAATCGTTCCCATTTTTTTCGTCTCCATCATGACTTAAACCTAATCTAGTAAAACGAAACTTTCTCTAATATATTTTGTAAATCTACTAGTCAACTTGCATAAAATGTTACAAAATAAATTTAATATTCCAATGTTGATCATTTTTTATTGAGGTGTTTTTCTTGATCGCTTTTTTCTTTTATGTTATCTCAGCAATACCATGAGTTGAAAGAAACTTATTTATTGAAATATGTTTACCTCATACTTATACCAAACATATACCGATATCGTGACAAGATTGTGTTATCCTCTTATCATCTCATATTGTAAAAAGAATAGAAAAATTATTCAACAATCGGAGTATCCGACGTTATCAAAATTAGGGTATTCCAATGAATCCTCTTCAAGTGAAACAATAATAGAAAATTATATTTTAAACACATTCTCTATTCATATTACTCAAGAGTTGTATCTCAGACCATAACACTATAGTGTATTCTTTTCCATTCTTTTTTAAATAACAATATTATAATTTGAAATAAATTAAATTAAATAATATTTAAATTTTTATACAAATACGCACGTCAATGAGTCAAACTAACAGTTTTCTACTTTTTTCTAGCGGAGAGAGATAATATAAATATGACATAAGCCCCACGTTGGGCGCCTATATAATTTATAATAATATTTAAAGTTAGTCATATAATATATTAAAATATCAACATTATAATAATATCGAAGGAGTAGAGTGAAAGCCTCAAATGTCAATTTTTGTTTTTGAAAATATTTTTATTATTTTATTTAAATGAATACCTCATAAGCCATTAAAGGAAAAAATCTGGCAGCTTCGTCTCGAAAGAGGTGACTTTCAGCGACGTACATGTAAACCACGTATCCATTAAGTAATTCTCTATTTTGGACATACGAGGGTTTCACTCTACGCCATCGATATGTATTTTTTCTTACCTACAATAATATTAAGCAACTTACATGTGCGCAGTTTCATGTGCAATAATAAACGCACTCGTCAATCCTTCGTCTCTGTTTAGAGCGCAGCTCCTTTTTGGATCACAAACGCCCGCCACTGGAGCATACCCGGACGGACCGCCTATGTCAGATCTGGTCAACCATATGGCCAAATCGTGCCGCGGTTCATCGGCAGCTAGCGACGCATGGATGGCTTTGTTCCAAGAATTGACGTTTTCCAAAGATTTCTTAGCGTTGCCTATTTTGATCACCCTGTGACAGAACTTTTTGCTCTCGTACATTAATAGTCTCGTTACCACTAATTTCATGTTGGATTCTAAGGAGGTGTCTTGATATATCGCGCTCACGATGTTGAGGAGTGATAAGACGTATTCTTCCACTCTGGCACGTCCGTGGAAAGAGATAAGAGTGTGGTCTACGGCCACTGCTATTTCCATCCATCTTGGGGGTAGAAGCGAACCACTTGATGATTTTTTTACTGAAAATTGGTGTTTTTCTACTTATGTGATTATTAATAATACACGATAGATCAATATTTTAAATTTACATTACAAAAGCAATTTCAAAACATAATAAGCTTGTTTTATAGATCTTTATAGCCTTAATGTACCAAGTATAATTTATCAGCTATTAGCCAAGGGTATGGTGTAAGATTTTCGATTTATTAATCAAATGAAAGTATACGAAAATTATTGTATATTGAATAATATAACCTCAGTAATCTTTAATTTTACCTTCCAAAGTATTAGCAGTCCACGCTGTGTCATAAAAGTAGCCATTTTCATCGCCTCCGCCATATACGTCGTTCTTTGCGGTACCCCAATTCAGGTCATCGATACTCGTCATTTCTGTACCATTTGTTCCCGGATCGAAAAGTGTCAGTTCTTCCGCCTCCTGGAACTTTTCGGTCGTTTCAATATCCTCTTCGATGTCAATTGTGTCGCCTGTCAGATTGAATATCCACTGATTGGGACTCGGAAGATTTCGAGTGTTCGTCGAACGTTTCTTGTAATGTTTACTGGAAAACGATACTGACATAAAAATAGTCATGTTCGAGTAACATTAATACCGTGGAGTTTCCATCAACTTATCGATGCTGAGAAAAATTCAAAAGCTCTATTTACGGGGAAGTTGTGTTTCATATAAACAAATTATTTCGCGCTATCTCGACGTGCCTGATACTGATATTTATTTCATTCCAAATAGACCAGAAATCTAGTTACATGGAATTTGATATTATGAAGTTACTTTTACCATTACACATACTTATACTAAGCGGAATAATTTCTAAATCGGGGCAGACGAGAAAAGATATTGCTGTATCATGAACATTTATCTTACCTCCTTCTAAGTGAACAAAAAAGGTAAAACTTACTTAGTATTTGTATAACATTTTGGAGTAATTACTTGTTGAAAACTAGACATATTTATTGACAACTTTCTCTCGGTTTATTTTTCGTTTTATTATTTAATTTACCTTCTCAATAGACGGGTTTTGTGAATTTATTCAGTAGTCTACATATATTTGTGAAGTTGTCCTTCATTTGGCCCTCGTACAAATTTATTATTTTGAGAAAACGAAAGAAACATCGTTGCTAACGAAGATATTGGGTTCATGCGCTGCTCCAAAAAAGGAGTACCAACGAAACCTTTGTAATAATCTACAGAGATTTAAGAAACTTCGAAGATACATTTACTCCTTACTTTTCATATTCCACAACGGTAGGAAGTATTTAATTAATTAATAGTCCTGTAAGTTGGATTCTTTGGATACCGGTAATGCTGGATTTTTAAAGGACAAACATTTTGGGTTCATTTATAAATTGGTTTTTTTTATAATAATTTAAAAAGTGTTAAATATTGCAAATATTTATTGGGTAAATTTATTGTAAAGGGGCATAAGTTTGAAATTGGTCTTTTAGTTTTTTTCTCAATAGTGTTATTGTGGAGAAATACTAGCATAATAGCATAAAATGGCCAATATGGAATTTTTGTAACGCTATAAGGTACCTAAGCCAATTATTGCCATGTTCCTAATATTACCTGCCAGCCGAACCAAAATCATTACGTCATTAATATTGCGGCCGGTATACATACTAAAGCATTCTTAGGAATGAAATCAACTAATTGGACGCGCCAGAAAAGTGCTCAGTTTGCACAAAGCATAGAAAAATAAAAATAGAAGGTTTGAATAAATGGCTGGACTTGTTTCCTGGTTGGTAGTTGAACCGTAAGCGCTTAGCGCGCTGCTATCACTAAATTCAAACTTGTTTTACACCCATAAAAAAATATGTTTTAAAAAATAATGACAAAGAAATCAATAATTTTACTGATTTGCCCCTTTAAATTTCACTTTAATATAATTTGTGATCAAATACAGGGAAAATCGTTAATAAATTTAAAGTTAAAGTTAAATTTAAATATTGGATGGTGTAAATCTGGCTTTGAAAATAAATTAGGTCAGCCTGATATTATTTTCATTTTCAAATGCAGGTGATATTTTTTTCAAATGTAGGTGAGTAAATTGTATTAATTAAGTGTAAGTAAAATTTAACTAATTTTACTATAGAGAGGTTAGGTCTCATTTAAATTTTAGTTGCAGAAGTATTTTTCTCACAAAACTAACAAGAAATTTTATGTTTTTCCTGCTATTATTACTCTAGAGATAAATGGATCCACATTTTAAACATTTGCGGTTAAAAAAATGAAAGGAGTTGTGAGCGAAATGTGTGAAGCCAATTTACAAACAAATATTGTACAACCGGAGATAGAACCTCATCCTAGTTTTACTCATAAAGACCATGATGAAAAAAGGCAAATAATTTGTGCTCAAAAAGTTATTGTTCAATTTTTGGGTGATATTCATTATTATATTTATCAAATAATACCCAAATATGTTCATAAACTTATATGCTATTTAGGTCAACTTGTTAATGTTTGCATAGTTCACCTATTAAAATCATAAATCGTTTTCTATTTTTATTGAAATTTTTATACCTTTTATTGCAAGAAAAATGTAAGAATTTAAAAAAGTTATGACTCGTGTTAATTTTTAATTTTAAGATACACACTGCACCATTATTTTTGTTTTGTTTTAGATATTCCTCGGTATGGAGATTTTTGGAATGTACATAAATGTGTTTCTTAATTAGGGTGAGTTTCAAAGCCCACCTGTATTGAAGCTGGAGGCTTATTGTACCCGAAATAGGCATTACAACTATTCTAGATTGAAATAGATGGGAAAAGGCCTTAAAGGGACAATAAGTATAAGAATATTAGAATTAAAATGATTTGTCCTTGGATTAATAAGGGATATTTAAAACATTAAAACAATTGTGTTTATAAATTAACTACTTTGACTTTTTATAAAAACTATATCCGGTTTTTTTAATAATAAAAACATTGTCATGTGCTGTGCTGGTTATCATATTATATTTTTATTTTTCAGTAATTTAGTGTGTGATATAGTGCTTGATATGTTCAAAATATGCAGTTAAAAGATAATGAGACACATGTAATTACATGATAATTCTAAATAAATTAAATTTGTTAAAAATGTGTTTTATTTTTCAACTAATTTTATTTTTCAGTTAAAACAAGTGACATTTTCCATTTTTCAACATTTACCTACAACAAAAATTCACTAAACATATTGTTTGTTTAGTAATTGTAAGTAAAAGTTGTCAAATAGGAAAATGTTACTTCAAATTGCTTCAAATATCTAAATTATCAAGCCCGCCAATTTTTAAATCGCTTTAATTAGCAGTGTTCTACTTTATCGACTGAAACTGACAGGTGTAGTTCAACCGTAAGCGCTTAGCGCGCTACTGTCGAGGTCAAGCAAACTTGTTACCAACTATCTACATTGAATCCGACCCCCGTGGCACAAAGCACCAGAACTATAGATACCGCTTTTTGTTTGCATCCGTTATAAAAAACTAGTCGTTTATTTGGTGTCCTATCGGCTGAAATATTTAAATAAAAAGTGCAAAAAATCACACAAGGTAAGTCCTGAGGTACACTTTTTGTTGTTGTACTGTTGTTATGTTTATTTCAAAGGTATTTCCTAAAATTGTTAGTTGTTTAGTTCATTTTCAGGTGCCTAATATTGCCATCTATGGGTAGACCAAATATTGCCATGGCAATATTTGGCTTATTTTTTTGCCTTATGTAATTTAATTTATAATAATATTATTATGCGAAAAACAAATAATTTGTAAACCATAAATTAATAATATGTTATTTACAGAGGCAAAAAATATGCGATTTACCCATACTCAAAGATGGCAATATTAGGTACCTGTGAAACTCTTGGATAATTAACGATTGTTGCTACTTGCCGTTACAATAATAATTAATAATAATTATTGTTATTTTTACAGATGCCAAAGAAAAATAGGGCAAAGTGGTCGGAATAAGACCATAAAGAAGAGTTGATAGCCATAAAGAACGGATTAAGCATCAGCAAAGCCTCGCAAATGTTTCGAATTCCACGAACAACTTTGGGGCTGCATCATGATGATGCAAGAAAACGTCTTGGCAGATGTAGTATTTTATCGGAAGAGCAAGAAAACAATTTAGTAAATAGGATCCATCGGCTGACAGATGTCGGGATGCCTGTCACGCCTAACATAGTGAGACGAAGTGTATACTCTTCCGCCACGACACGTAACATTCCTAATTCATTTTCCCAGGCATCAAAATTAGCAGGCAGAAAGTGGCTGAAGTTATTTTTTAAGAGGAATCCTGATGTTGTGAGACGTAAGGCGCAGCAAATGAACCCTAATAGGGCTCAGAAAATAAATCCATTTATTGGTAATCATTGTTTTAATAAATTAAAGGAAGTCTACACTAAATTGGAGTTATTCGACAAATCAGGAAATGTATACAACATGGACAAAAAAGGTTGTCGCCTAACGATTTATTAACAATAGATGGCCCCTGAACATGGTGAAAATGTAACCATAGTTGCATGTGGAAATGCATTAGGGCAGGCAATTCCACCAGTGATCCTTTTTAAAGGAAAACGTTGCAAGCCCGAATGGGCAGAACATTTACCCCCCGGATCCAAGATCAACATGAGCATTAAAGGAAGCATGACCAGCGAAGCTTTTATTTCCTGGCTCGACCATTTTGCCATGTTTAAGAACCCAGGACCAACACTTTTCATTTTTAACGGGGCCAAGTCACGCCTTGACGTATCCATTGTTGATGCTGCCGAAAATCACGGAATCACTTTATTTTGCTTACCTAGTAACACCACGCATGAGTTGCAACCCATGGACAAGTCAGTTTTTCGTAGCTATGAAGCATTTTGGGATCAGGAAGTATTGAACTTTTTAACAACACAACCTGGAAAAGTTTTAACCAAAATAAGGTTTGGAGAAATATTTTTAAAAGTGTGGTTGAAAGCAATGACACCGTCCAATATACTCTCTGGATTTAGAAGTACAGGCATCTATCCTTTTGCTCCTAATACAATCCCAGAATCTGCGTTTGCACCCATCGTCGTAACAAGAATAGATGAAAATAAAAATGAATCTAATATTACTGAGCCAACAAGTCCTATTCCCTGACCAAGTGGAGTAAATTCATCAATTACCAAAAATAAAAAACATACTGCTTACCTTCATAGTGATTCATCGGATTCAGAAGCTTTCCTCGATAATGACTCCTTCACAGAAAGTGACAACGAACCACTAATTAAATTAATGTCTGCTTCTTCAGGGGATGCAACGGAGAAAGAAGTACCTGGTGATGATTTGAATAAGTCGTTTAGTGACATATGTGTTTTCTAGTTACTCCTGAGATAGAAGTTGCATCGTCACAAAGAAAGCCTGCTATTAATTCAAGGGCCCAAGAAATAACGAGAGATTTATTCAGTTCTCAGCCAAAATCTGCTCCAAAAAAAGTCACGCAAAAAAAACTTGGCCTCAAAGAAAGTGGTACACGCAGAATCTGCTCCAAAAAATATTTGCTTGTACTTGACTCTTGGTTCTGTTTCCTATGAGAAAAAGAAAGGCAAATCTATATAAGGTTATGCTCGGTATGTAAAAGATACGTTCACGAAGAATGTGTCGGTCTATCTAAGGCCGACAAAGAAATGTTTATTTGTCCAGATTGTTAGACTGAGCTTTTTCATTAACAAGAATGTTACTTTTTATTTAGTTTTTCATAAGAATGTTCATTTTTAGTTAATTTTTATAAGAAGATTCCTTTTTATTTTGTACCTGGGTAGCATTTACGATATGATTAAGTGTAAATGTAAATAAAATTTTGTTCTTTATTTTGCTTCTTTTAGTGTTTTCAGTAATGTTCCTAATACTGTTACTACATGGCAATATTTGGGTTACCTGTTCCAAATATTGTCATTTTGCAATGTTTTTAAAAAAATGCTAAAATAAAATAGTATATTATGCAACGATCATGTAATGATGGTTATTAATACACGAGCATTAACCGGGATACGAAACGAGCCAAAGGCGAGTTTCGTATGGTTTATGCGAGTGTTTTAATAACCATTACATGAGAGTTGCATACGCTATTTTTTCTACACCCGATAAATAATCAAGATCTATAAATATTATATTTATATTGGTATTGAACACAGTAACAGTAATTACTCGTATTTCTATAAAAAATTCTACAAAATTGTAATTAATGGTATTACTTCAGGTATTGGTATTTCCCTAGATTTTTGCGGTAAAATATTTTGTACTGTATTTTCTGCTTTCTCCGATATGTGTGGAGGAGTCTTCTATATCGCTAATATCAGACATTTTAATATTATAATTATCGAAGTTTAGCTACCTACGAAAATTTAATACGTTTTGACAACTAAAATAATTACATAGGAACCTAGGACAAACGTCAAACAGCATGCTTGATTGAAAAATTGTAGGTTTCTATTGATTAAAAATCTGTATCGTAATGAAAAATCTGTATCATAATGGGTATCATTATGAAACGGATTATGGGCATATAAGTGCATTATTATAATACGGGTGTAGAAAAATATTAAATTAAAATTACTAATAAATGGCATACGTTTCAGATTAGAAGACATGCTGTAGACTGTTTTCTATAACGTACAGGTTGATCTAGTTGAATATATTAAAATAAAAAAATCCTTAGGGTGGCAATAATTTGATTAGGTACCTTATATCTCCTAGCTACCGTCTGAGCGATGTCGAAAGCCTGAAGGTTGACACTGGAACAACCTAAACTTATGTGACCGAGTAGAAAATATTTATATTGGTTCAGTTCCCGCCAGTTTCCGTCACTGGAACTTGCGGAGCTAACTTTGAAGGTTTACATTGTATAATATCTACGCATATGGGCTGTGACGTTATATGCCCACTTTTACTGCACTTCTCTTTTCTCTAGATCCGATTACAATAAGAACACCGCTAGTCATAATCATTATTTTTAATTTCAAATCTATATTATTTTTAACTATCAATAAATAAAAAATAAGTAAGTTGTTGGGTATAGAAAAAGACCTATATTCGTATAATATTTAAACGCCACTAAACTCCCAGTAGGCGGCGATAGCCAATGAATTACTTCGTCAAATGATGACGTAGTCGTGTTCTTCTTATCGTAATTGGACCCTATACTAGGACAAAATATTGGAGAAGGTGAGTCATATGCATGATCAACACTGTTGTCTATGAATGAAAATTCCGACAGGTATTTGTTAGTAAATTTTATTGAATTTGTTTATCAACATCTTTATTTAAACAAAGATGATGCGTTAAATATACGTTTTTGATAGTTTTCAAGAAATGAATATATTTATTCCCTAATGACTTCGTTATCTGTGTTTAATGGTTTTAAAATGTGTTTCAAGTAAATAAACGACAGACGGGTTACAGACTGAATATTGTCAGCACAGGCACAAAGACAGTTGAAGTTAGATTTGTATCGCTTTAACTATTTATGATAATTATTTTATATTTTATGAACACTTTTCTGTAAAAGTGCTCTTTTCTGATATACGAGTAGGTATTCATTGTGCCTTACAAGTTGGTAGTAATAGTGCATATTCGAGGAGTTATATTTATTGTGTAGTATATTAGGTAGGTACTTTAAAAGTTTATTAAATAGTAAAATATTGGTCTTTATAAATTTAATAAAAACAATTTAATAGTAGAATTATATTGTTACAATAGTAATGGATTCAGAGGCGGGTCCAAGTGAAACCCAATTACGTCGGCGAAATCCCTTATCAAAGGATGAAAAGAACATTATATGGAAAGTGTATGATGGGCTGAAACAGACACTTCCTACAAATGAAGCTGCAAACCGCAGTTCTTTTTTAACTGGAGTATCTTTTTTAACAATTGAACGTATTGTACTCGAAAAGTTAAAAAAGGCTCCTTAGAAGCCCCTAAAACGCACACCCGTAGTCGAAAATTGTTGAAACTGGACGATAACCAAAAACAAATCATTCGAAGAACTGTACATTCTTTTTTTTTTTTTTTTTTTTTTTTTTTTTCGAAAACAAAGCTCCAACACTTAAAGTTGTTCTCAATTAAGAGAAAACGAAGAAATTTCATTAATGAGCCGTGAAACTTTACGAAAAAATTTATGGGGCCTAAAATTGCGTTTTGTCAAACGGTGAAGGAAATCAATTTTAATTGAAAGGTGTTATAAACGAAATATTAAAGAGTTTGGAGCCGCTAAAAAAAGATATACTATCTCGATGAAACGTGGGTAAATGCTGGATACACGGTATCTAAGATATTGCAAGATACTTCTGTAACTAGTCATCGCCAAGCTTTTATAGAGAGATTATCTACAGGTTTGAAAGCACCATCAGGTAAAGGATAGCGCCTAATTGTTACCCATATCGGAAGTGACAGTGGATTTTTGAAAAATAGCGCTCTTGCGTTTATATCTAAAAAAACAGGAGACTACCACGAGGACATAAATGCGGAATGCTTTGAAAAATGGTTTACTGAAGTATTACAGCGTGTAGAACGAAATTCAGTTATTGTACTAGATAACGCTACTTATCATAGTCGACGAGTTGAACGCATTCCGATAATGTCCTTTATGAAAGCGGATATGCAAACCTGGTTGCGGGATAAAGCAATAACATTTACTAAGGAGATGCTTAAAGTGGAATTAATGGACCTAATAAAGGCTCGTGATCGTGGTATTACGGCACTAAGACTTCCCTCTTATTACTGCGAATTCAATCCTATTGAACTAATTTGGGCGCAAGTAAAAGGGTTTGTAGCTCGAGAAAATAAAATTTTTAATATTGCCGACGTTCAAAGTATATTAAAAACCGGTATAGAACGTATAAAACCTGAAGATTGGCAGAATGCTATTTCCCATGTAATTAAGGAAGAAAATAATATGTGGCGCTTGGACGGTATGATCGAAACGGTAGCTGAACCTTTAGTCATAACTTTAAGTTTCGACGATAAAGACGATTCCAGTGATAGTTCCGCAGAATCAATGGAATACGAAACTTCATAGATTTAGAATTCAAGTAAGTGATACCAAGCTTAATTTACATATTTTTATAATAAACAAAATACAATTATAATAAACATAGATGAATTATTGTAACAAAAATAGATAACCAACCTACTTTCATCTAGTAATATTCACAAATACCCAATTAATTTGCCAATATAGTATTTCTGCGACACTGGAAGAGTGCATTTTGATATGATAACGATACCTTTTGCAGTTTTAAGGCGCACCTTCTTCAATATTTTGTTCTAGTACAATACCCAATTTAATTTTCAAATAGTGTTTCTACGCCACTTGCATAATAATTACATATTTTAACAATAAACAAAACAAAATTATAAACATAAATGATTATTACTACAAAAATAGATAACCAATCTACTTTCATATAATATTATTTACTATTACCGCATTTAATTTGCCAATAGTTTTTATACGCCACTGGCGTAATTCATTTTGGGAATAAACATGCATTTATAACTAGTTGACACGTGATACCGATAACTTCTGCAGTTTTAAGCGCATGATTCCATTCATTATGCTCTGGTATAGTATTATTGTTGTACGTGAACAAGAAGGAATCACCTTCTTCAATATTTTGTCCGAGTATACTTAATAAATTAAATAATAACAATTTACCTTCTATAAACGATATGCTCCCCCGTCGTCTCGTCTACAGGTTCCAGAAAGTAGACGTCACCGTCGACATCAAGGTAACCGCGTACAAAGATCCCGCATAAGGTCACCACAACCTTAGAATCCGCTTCCAGTCCCTTTATCACGCCCACATGATAATCGCATTTCTTGAGCGGCCTCCGGCCGTGAGAATCTTCGCTTGAATCGAGCCACTCCGTTCGCAACCCACGGGAAAAAAGTAAATTGTCCTCGGAATGGAGTTCCAACAACCAATCTCCAACTTTAACCACCTTTATTATTACAAGTTTGGGTTAGTCTACTACTAAGAAATGAGAGTTGAGCGATTTTTCTTTTTTTTGCGGGAGAGAAACATAATTATGAGAGAGTTTTTTTTGGTTGTTTGTTTTAGACAGTCATTCGTATTATGGCCTACTTCACAAAAATTCAGTTTCGTTCATAAATAAGTTTCCTTCTTTAACAATTAAATATCAGTATTATTAATATACAGGATGTAACATGTACAGCATATTTAACCATATTTTCTAGGGTAGAAAATAACTCGAGTTAAGATAACTTATTGCTTACATAAAAAATGGACAAGAAAAAAGTTACGAGGTGTTAAAGTAGAAATTTTAGAAGCGATTTTTTGTTCTTATTCTAAAACAGCATAACATATTTTTATGAAAATGTACGTGGGATTTCACCTTACAGTGACCAATAAAATGGAGTTTAAAGCCATATTAGTCCATTTAAAATAACGGTAAAAGGTCGAGAAACGCCGCACTTGACGAGACCACTTATCCCCTACGTATTTGGGGCGCTGATTACGAAAATGAGGGTTAAAACTGGCAGCAATGGTTGGAACACCCCTAAAATTGCAAAAAACTCCCCTAAATAGGGGTGTTTTTCGACTGTACTTGTTGTTTTGCAAACTAACTCATCTCATATGTTTTTTGGGGCGCTGATTTCGAAAATCGGGGTGTCGAGACTGGAAAATTTGTGTGACACCCCCCACATGCCAGAGACACCCCTCCCAAGGGGTGAATTTTCGGAAAAAATGACCAGTAACGATGTTTCGCAAACTAAGTCATCTTATATGTTTTTTGGGGCGCTGATTACGAAAATGAAAGGGATGTTTTTGGCATGTGGGGGGAGTCACACAAATTTTTCAGTCTCGACACCCCGATTTTCGAAATCAGCGTCCCAAAAAACATATGAGATGAGTTAGTTTAAAAAACAACAAGTACAGTCCAAAAATACCCCTATTTAGAAGTGTTTTTTGCAATTTTAGGGTGGTTCAACCATTGCTACAAGTTTTAACCCCAATTTTCGTAATCAGCGCCCCAAAAAACATATAAGATGGCTTAGTTTGCAAAACAACAAGTACAGTCGAAAAACACCCCTATTTAGCCGTTATTTTAAATGGTCTATATTTTCCAAAGGCTAGAGGCAATTAAGGACAGCATGACGTCATAGTAGATGCCCATGGGGCTGGTAAAGCAAATGTAAGAAGATGTGTCAAAAATGTGGTCTATGCAATTAACCAAATTAAATTTCATCAGGTTATTACTTGGTCCGAAAATATTGTAAATATGACTGCAGAGTTTTTACAATCAGAGGATTTTCTCAAGTTATAGGATTTGTTGACAGAACTATAGTAAAAATAGATGCTCCATTCGAAAACAAACTTGCTTGAAAATTCATGCTTGAGTATTGAAAAATAGTAATTCTCATTTTAGGTGGCTTTTAAAATAATAAACTTATTTATTGTTGTAACTCTTTTGGTGGACAAAATCCAACGAATTGTGAGAAGAAATAGTGAAAGTAAATTGTGGTTCGTAATAAGAAAATGCTTATTTGAGGTTATCCCAAATAGCAGAGGACATCCTAAGGAGGTTCATTACATGTCCATTTATCGTCTGTACGTCCAGGACCAATTCTGAACGTTTTAAGTATGTCCAGTTTAGTAAATCCTCGGGACGTCATGTAATAAATATCCACAGAACGTCAATTCTACGTGCTTTATTATATTTCCATGGATTAACATTCGCATTGTATTAATATTTGGTTATATTATATTAACAACATATATAATGACATAATATAAATAATTATTGAAGATGGCATTGTCCCAATATCTAACTGAATAAAGGCCAAATAGACAAAAAAGAAGAAGGTCATTACAAGAAAACGACATTGTTGACAAGTGACATTTTATTATTTTTTATTATTATTTATTTAGATTCAAGCAGAAATATTCTCAGGGCTCAGGTTTTATTAAAAAAAAAAAGAAAAAAACATGGTGTTAAATGTTCATGATTCGATGGTATGTACATATTATACGAGTACAAGTTCTATCATTCTACCATTTGACTGTGATTCGACTCTGTGACATTGTGGTTGATTAATATAAATTTTTTGCAGTTTGTACTTTTTTTTTTAATTTGGTGTCATCGGCATCGACTGCTAATGTCATTAGCCTCGTGTTCATGTAGGCTTTGTTGCTGTTTCCCAACGCCACTTTAGGAACAGCACTGTTAATTAGAACCCAACAGTGAATGGTCGAGTGGGGAGTCCTACCAAGGCATCTGAATTAATTTTAAATAATTAAATTAAATAAAAAAATCCCGGCAAACGGTGGGATTCGAACCTGGGACCCTTGGATCCACAGGCAGGGACTCTACCACTGAGCCACCCACCTCCTGCAGTTTGTACTTTTTTTTATCTCTGAGAAAGGTGGAAATTTTCCAGTGAATACTACAAAGCTAAGAGGTTAGTGAATTCATAATGTCTATCAGGACAAACTTAAACAAACATTGGATTTTCATATTGATCTGTCTTTCATTTTGAATAAGCGAATAAATTATTTTCAGGTTCAGCTGAGAAGGCCAAATCAAGAAAAAAAACTGAACTACTTTCAATCCAGGCATGGTTGAAAAGGGCAAAGTAGAGGAGAGACGGGATATATTTAACAAAAAAGTTTTAATAATTTTATTATTCATAGGTTATTTGCTTCCAAATATTTTTTTTTTTTATTATTCATTATTTTCACTAATTTCCTTCGTGTTATTCCCCATTTGAGCTTTTGAAAATGTCCATGGAATGTTCTTAAATGGACGTTCTTAAGACATCCTGATTATTAACAATGGACGTTCCAAAGACGTCCATAAGACGTCCACGTACGTGAAATGAACGTTGTAAGGATGTCCTGAATGTCCAAGCAGCACGTTTTTAGAATGTCAATAAGACTTATTTGTGCTATCTGGGTAGGTGTATACCAATGAGGTTAAATAATATAGAGGGCACATGCCAAAAAAAGCGACAACCTTTCCCCTTCCCTTAGAAGCAATAGTATAAGCCGCGTTCAATGAGTGTATCGAATTCTTGCTACGATTGGGGTAGCAGGATCACTACATTACACTACTTGTTGCTGGAACATTCACGTTATAGTCCGGGAGATTTCAATACACCATTTTCGCAAGCTTTATTTTTTGAATATCAGTTTTTTAAATAGCATCTAACAGTAAAATCATCGTCTTCCATTCCAGTTGTACGGCAGGGGGTTGCGGGAGGGTTGCAATTCCAGTAAAAAAATTATAAAAAAAAATAATTTTCACATGGATGAAACTTGGTGTACAAGTTGATATGAACATAAAAATATTAGAAAATAGTGTCTTCCACCTGAATTTCCTACGTCTTCCACACACAAAAATAGGCGTAAAAAATAAAAAAAAAATTATAGTCGCAAAGGTGAAAGTAAGTGTGATGTTTATTTTTATAGTAAGAAAAATAAAAATAATAGGCTTCCACCAATAAAACACAACGAAGGTCGTCTTCCAAGCTAATAACGGTGTCCTCGACATGCATCAAAACCAGAGGCGGCTTGTGAAAAAAATTTTCACAAGTTCACAATAGCAGAATATAGATGTTTACAAGAAGAAAACAAATATTTTATACCAGATCGACTAATTAAAAATTCTTTTTGTTTTTTGTCATAATAATAGTATACATTCAGTGACAAAGTTCACGCCATTTGAAATAATTAAAAGACACATTGATAATCCAAATCCCTTTGATTTAGACGATCACTTAACAATTTCTAATTATGTACAAGATCATAAACAAATTAGTAAACAGATGTATAGCAAAATTAAACAACCTAACGAAGAAGTAAAAGAAAATTTAATAAACAAATAAAATGAAAAGAGTTCTGAACCAGATAACTATTCTAATCAAAACTCATGTTCTGTCAAAACAAAATTAAGAAATAAACAATTACCACAATTTAAAAAGACAAATGTCATTGAAGATAAAGGTATTTTAATAAAAACGAATAAGGGCACTTATCATAAAAGTATTGTTGGAAAACCGAAAAATAATTTAGAAAAATTGTTACAGGATACCAACGAAATTGAAATCCATTTTGATAACGACGCTGTTCCAAGTACAAGATCTACAAGTCATTTATGTATACCAAATACATAGTACATCTGATATACAATTCGATCCGATTGAAAATCTGTTCCTATTTAGGAAACGCTAAACTATATATAGCAAACATACATTTTTATATTATTTAGATTTAGAAGAAATAGTTAAACAAGTTAATCATTTTGAATCGATAAAACATAGTATATTGCATGTTAATACAACTAACTCTATATCTTATCATAGCTTATCACAAAATATGTTAACAAGAACAGAATATCTAATAATTACTCTTCACAAAAAGATTAATAGGTAATTTAATTCCCCATGTAAGACATAAAAGAGCTCTAATAAATGCAATTGGAAAAATTAACAAATGGCTATTTGGAAATCTTTATTCTGATGACCAAGAAATAATGCTATCAAAACATTGCAAGTAAATCAAAAAAATATTATCAGTGAACCAAATCTTCAAATTTCGTTGTACAAACGGCTTGTTGATCATTATAATAAATCAATCATATTCTTAGGCAAAAAACAAGAAATATTTAAAGTTGATATGAAAAAAATTCAAGCAGCTATTTATAATAGAATCGATACCCTCGAAAGTTATATTAGTTTTCAGATCATTATATCACAAATTGATTTAGATTATCAAATGACAATTTCTTTTATAGATAATTTAGAAAATGCCATAAACTTGGCAAAATTAAATACTTTACATAATTCTATAGTTTCCAGCTCAGACATAAAAAACATGATAAACTATTTAAATAAAATATATAATGTTGATTTCGAATTTACAAATTTATTACCGTATTATCAGTTCTTAGGAACGCAACTATCAATTTCACAATCTAAG